TGAAGTGTAGTTGATCTAAAATGTTAGTTTCAGGTGTATGGTGAAGTGCTTCGCTTATACATATACATACATATATATTTTTTTCTTTCAGATTCTTTTCCATTATATGTTATTATAAGAAATTGAATATAGTTCCCTGTGCTATACAGTAGGTCCTTATTGTTTATCTATTTTATGTATGGTAATGTGTATCTGTTAAACTCCAACTCCTAATTTATTCCTCCTCGCATTTTCCCCTTTGGTAACCATAGTTTGTTTTCTATGTCTGTGAGTCTGTTTTTGGTTTGTAAATAGAATTTGTATCATACAATTTATTTTTTGAGTGAACTTAATTAGAAATCTAATTTTATTTATAATTTCCTTTTTTGAATATTACTATACTTTTATTTTAAAAGCAACTTCCTGTTACTTTTTTACCCTTTTCTTATAAGCTTTAATTGAAACATCTCTTTTTCTGTGATTTATCTTTTTTTTAACAAACATAATTGTATATCTTGAAAGTGTACAGTGTGATGATTTGATAAGCCAGACAAAGAAAGACAGATACTGTATGGTAACACACATATGTGTAATCTTAGAAAAAAAGTGATTTCATAGAAACAGAAAATAGAATGGTGGTTGCCAGGGGCTGGAGGTAGACGGGAGTGTGTGATGTGCGTCAGATGGTTGAAATTTTTAGTTTTAAGAACAATGAGTTCTGAAGATCTAACGTAGCATGGTGACAATAGTTAACAGCATGATATTGCATACTGTAAGTTACTGAGGGTAAATCATAAACATTATCACCACACACATGAAAAAGTTCACTAAGTGAGGTGATGGATGTGTTAATTACCTTGATCTTGGTAATCATTCCACAGTGTATATGTATATGAAATCATCACGTTGTATACTTTTGTTTATAACTTCTTACCTATGTGTGAGGTCAAATTCTGAGTCCTTTAAATCACTTGAATATTTTTCAAGCTTGAGCAATATTTTTACCCACTTTACTGGAAATTTTAAGCTTTAAAAATTATTGGAATAGCATGAAAACAAAAAACCATATACAATATACACACAGTTTAAATGTACATGTATATATGTGTATGTATGTGTATGTGTTCACATATATATGTGACATATCATCACACTTTAAAGAATAACATTAAAAGAAATGCTCATTTAACAATTTCTGGGCTTAATTAGTGGAAAACTAACAATATAGTTGAAGCCTCTAGTATCTCCTCCTCAGTTGCATCTTCTCTTCTTGAAAGTACCCAGCATCTTTAGTATTTTCAATATTTTTATTTTTCTTTAAAGCTTCAACACTTCTATACTGACTCCTAGAACTGCATATAAATGGAATAATACTATATTTTTTCTTCTAGGTTTTGCTTTCGTTGTCTAATATTGTCCCTGTGAAATTGATCCATATTGTGTAATGTTTCACTGTGAGACTATAGCACACATATCTGTGCTATTTTCTACGGCTGTTTTGTTTATTTTCAGCATTATGCTCCTATGAACAATGTTGCTGCAAACATTTTTGTACATTCCCTATTGTGTATGAGCAAGAGATTCTGTTAATTATATACCCAGAAGAAGAATGACTGAATTACAGGCATGCACATTCAACTGTTAACCATCACTGCTAAATCTTCTCAATTAGTTGTACCAAGAAGCCAGTTTGAAAGGCTACATACTGTATGATTTCAACTGTATCACATTCTGGAAAAGGCCAACTATAGAGAAGGCAAAAAGCTTTGGTTACCAGGGGTTCAGGGTTTGAGGGGAGGGGATGGATAAATAGAGCAAAGGGGATTTTTAGGGCAGTGAAACTATTCTGTATGATACTATAATGGTGGATGAATGTCATTATGGATTTGTTTCAAGAATAAAAAAAATACAGTACAAAGAGTGAATGCTAATGCTAGCAAAATTTCATGACTTCCTTCCAAGTGTGACATTGTCCCTGGGAGGCAGCTGCCCCATTTCCTCTTAGTCAAGGTGTGGCTACATGGCATGTTCTTCTACTTGGAAAAGACTGTGTGTTCTTTCCTGGCCACAATTTTAAAGAAGCATGTGTGCCTTCTCCTTTATTATCAAGGAAGCAAATTACCTGCTGCTCTGAGAGATCACTGAACTTGGTCCCTAAATTACCACATAGTGAACTGCCATCGACCCTCTAGAAGAGCCACACTGGACCATTTGAGCAGCCACCATCATCCTTATTGGTACAAAATTTTCCTCTGTGAAATACATAATTATGGCTTTTCCCTGCTATTCTATTGCACTGTTTCTCTCTTGTTAATTGCCTTGTAGACAGACTTCACATAATCTGGAAATTTAGCCTTTGTCAGTTGTATGTATTGCAAATGCTGTCCATTATTAGAAGCTTATTACTTTTGTTTTTTTACTATCTAGCAATGTCTTCATTTTAAATGAAGTTAAATGCATTAAAGTTATTAATGCATCATTTTATGATTTGTGTTCTTGACTTTAACATGCTTCCTTGAGAAAGTCACCTTGAAAATGGCAACTGTTTTATTTTATAGACAAGGAAGGGATGTGGCGTCAGGAAACGTGCGGAGGCTGAGGAAGGGTGGACTCAGATTTCTTGTCAGAGGGAGCATCTTGAATTTGCGTAAGTCTTAGGAACAGCCCAGTGGGATCTCCTCTGACACCATTTGCTGTAGATAATTCAGCATTAGATGAGTCCACCTTGTACTCTTGCCCAAAGGACAGAGCTGTTTAGCAAAATAACCCACAACAAGACTGATACGGTGCTGCAGTGTTGGTGTCAGAGTAAATATGCTTCCAACTCAGAGATGTTACTATTAATTGAACACACACAAATAAATACCTTATGACCAGCAGCTCACATGGGCAAGAAGGCATAGTCCAGAGTCTGGGGGAAGTTTATGACCTTGGAAAATAGAAGCCAGTTGAGTCTCTAGAGTAAAACCCATGCTCCTGACCTAATTAATACACCAGGATAAAAACCTGAGCTAGGTGTCATCAGAATAGAATAACATGTATATGTGTGACTGAAC